AATATGGAATTTCTCATGCAAATGAATTCATAAAATTTACTGTATCTGTTTCTCAAATAATCATTTCACTTAAAAATATATGCCTATATCAAAATAGCAAAAAAAAAAAATGTTTGATAGTCTCAACTAGAAGCTTCATCAATTTGCCTTTCCATTTAAATAATTTGTCTAGAGCAAGGGTTATCAAACTATAGCCCCTGGATAAAAGCTAGTCCAAGTCTTGTGTATTTGGGCAAAGAATAATTTTTATATTTTGTTTTGCATTTTGGAGACTGAGTCTTACGACATAGTCCTTGCTGGCCTGAAACTTGTGGCAATCCGTCTCTGCCTGTAAGTGCTGAGATTTAGAGGAGAGCACCACAAGACCTGGCTTATTTTGCTAATTGATTTAACTGTATTCACAAAAATTACAGGAACTTCAAATTTCAGAGTCTATAAATAAAATTTTATTGGACACATCCACACTTACTTGCTTACAAATCATCAATAACTAGTTCCACATTACAATGGCTTGTGGCTGAGTAGCTGCAACAGAAATGATATGATACAAAGTATAAAATACTATCCTCCTTTTGCAGGAAAAAAAAATGCTGACCTGTGGGATAAGGTATTAACTTGAACTTTATAAAAATAAAAAAATAAAAAATAATTCCCCAAACCACAGGGTGACAACACTTTACTCAACTAGGTCAAAAAATAATAGATGTTGGTAAGGGCATGAAGAAGTTGGAGCAGTCATACATCACTGGTAGAAATATAAAGTGGTTCAAGTGATAGGGACATGAGTTCCTCATAAAGCAAACAAAGACCCAGCAAGAGCACAGGAAATATTTTGGCACATGAGTTTGTATATGTGTTCAAAACAATTTTTTTTTTCGAGAGGGCTTTTCTGTATTGCTTTGGAGTGTGTGCCACCAATGCCCAGAGCCCAGCTAAAAACATTATGCTAAATAGTCAAAAAGCAAAAGCTGAAATGTCCATCAATCAATATGCAAAATATGGTTTTAATCATATGGCGAAATATTTTTCAGCCACAAAAAGGATCCTAGTGCAACATGAACCTTGAAAATATATGCTAAATGAAATAGTGATAACAAAAGGGCCACATGTTTATTTTTCTATGAATGTAATTATTTCAATATATAGAGTTCCAAATACACACTGACAATAGATTAATGGTTGCCAGAGTCTCAGAGGAGTAGAAGAATGCTAACAGGTACAAAGGTCTTTTTCATGGATAGTGAAAAATGTCCTGAAATTACAGAAGTGATTGAACAACTTTATGAGCGAATACTAAGGGCTACTGAAGAGGACACTTAAGTTTTAAAACTTGAATATTAGTTTATCAGAAATGACCGTTAATGCTGAGTGCCTGAGGTTATCAAGCCTAGATACATATATATTATTTTCTTCTGCTCGTATTTGATTGTTCATACTCTGAAACCATTTATCTTTTCAGAGTCATAAACGGTTTCCTGTACATGGGATTTTTTTTTTTTCACAAAGTTTTGTTCTCCACATCTGTTTCTGCAACAAAACACTTCTTTAACTAGTGCTCATGAAGAAATTCGATCTATGGCTTAATTGCTCCTCCCTGTAACTGACATGCTGGGAGGTTTGTCCTCCCTAAATCCTAACCTCTTGCTGCATGACATCACACCCCTCGAATGTCATCCATGTAATTGCCTTTCATTGTAAAAGAAAGTGAATGAAGCAGCCTAAATTCACAGGGTGGAGATATGCAATACATCCTTGGGGAGAGTATCTTCAACCATTATACAAGTTACCATAGTTGGCTTTGCAATTTTACATGTGTGTGTGTGTGTGCACATGGCAGCAGTATTTTCATTAATGGTCCTGTTACCTACCTGGCCCCATGTCACATCATCCCATTCAAGTCACAGTGGTCTCCTGGCTATTCCTCAAATACAGTATTTTCTTGCCTGTGTAGGAATATTTTTCCCTAAGTAACTACTGGCTCCTTCCCTCCTATTTCATATGTCATTATGAATCATCTTGGTGAAGAATTCCCTAACCTGTTTTAAAGTTGTAATCGATTCTATCCAACACACACACTCCATGCCCCTTTCTCAGCTTTATTTCTCCCAGGCATCAACCACCATCTGATACATGGTGTGTACCTGATTTTCTCCCCTGATGAATTGTAGACACCTTCTTCTACTTTCTGCTATAGTACCAACTCTCAGAGCACTGCAGGGACTCTACACAGTTGCTGAATTATAAGAGACATGAAGTTGGACCCATCTAATGAACACTCTTCAGCCATACTTGAGCACTGATGAGCACTGATAACAAAAGGATGTGGATTTAGAAACTATGAAGACAGTGGCCATAATTATAAAAGTTCCCACAGTTTCCTTGTTGGATGTGAAACCCTGCTCTGGACATCGCATTCCTGGGCACTAGACATGTGTTAAGATGCCAAACTGTGCCTTCCTGGCTACCCAAGTGAGAGGGGTTGGGAGCAAACTTAAGGGAAATACTATCTTTTCAGAGATTTCTTTTCACTAATAACTACTCATGTATTATTAATTTCAGTTGTTTGAGTCAGGTTCTCACTATGTAGATTTGACTGTTCTGGAACTCAATAGGTATACCGGGCTGACCTCTAATTCACAAGATATCTGCCTGTCTCTGCTTCCCAAGTACTAGGATAAAAGGTATGTGCCATCACACCCAGATACATTCATAGGGTTTAATTCTCTAAACTAGTACTAAAATCCAGGACTGTTAAAATGCTGAAAGGACAGAAGTCAGAGCCAATAGAATTTTTTTCCTTTTTATTTATTTATTTATTTATTTTTTTAAATGGGCATGGAAAGGGTTGCTTTACTAACTTGCTGGGTAAGAGAACACACACAAAATAATTCAGTCAACAGTCTAAAAGAGCTATTGAAGGATATCAACTATAGATAATACAACAAATTATCACAAAATCTGTGCCTTAAAACCACACATCAGTTCTCTCCATTTAAGACTGGCATTGATTCACTTACACTGGACTAATAATTGGAACAGTTTGTTCTAGGGAGACATGGGGGAGAATCCATTTTCTTGCCTCTGACTTTCAGAAACCATTCACATTGTGGACACTCCAGCCTTAAAGCCAGGAACGGGTAAATTAAATGCTCATCAAAGACAGGGAAAATAAACTAAATGTCCATTCCTTGAAATACTCTACTTCACTTTCTGCATCTGATTCCAGCCAACTTTGCCTACTAAGGGTTTGTATGATTAAATGGGACTCATCTTGATAGTCCAGGATAGTCTCCTCTGTCCTACGCCCCAGTCACTCAGGCCTAACACTCTTTAGTCAGAAGTATCCATCTTCTATAGAGTAGTTATTTCATTATAACAACTATTCTTGCTCATTTGAGAAAACTAATTTTAGAAAAGAATAAAGGAAAACAATTCACACATCGTACAAACCCCATGTGGACTCGGAATTCCAATTCCGTAGCTGACACTCTTCCTTGGGGTGTTTACCCTCGACCACTGGTCTGATACTAATTTCCTGTTCCGAGATCTAGAATATAGAACCAAGAAGCAGGGATACTGCTAACATTAACACTGTGGTACAATCATGCTTTACTGGAGAATAACAGACACAAAGTGTCCAGCCCTTAAGTGACAGTCCACTAGGGGTTTACATATGTCTTACTAATGCATATAACATGAAACAACAGCAATTCACAACATGTATGCTGTGACCCCTTTGGGGTTAATGATGCTTTCACAAGGCTTACCTAAGACCACTAGAAAACACAGACATTTACATTACAATTCATAACTAGCAAAATTATAGTTATGAGGTAGCACCAAAAATAATTTTATGGTTGGGGGGTCAACACAACAGGAATTCCTGTATTAAAGAGTCACAGCATTAGGAAGGTTGAGAACCACAGCTATAGAGATAATCTATAAGTTATGGTATAATTGTGTATATCATGGGAGCATGAGACTAATCTTTTTAATGATGAGGCTGAATATATATATATATATATATATATATATAATCTCAGCACTCTTAATAATCTGAGATGAATAACTCTCCCAAAAGCTATCTTTATAAGAATCTAACAATATCTTTGGCCTCTATTTTTAGGCACTGATAGCTTTTCCACCATGTGGGTGCAGGGAACCAAACCCAGGTCCTCTGCAAGAATAACAAGTGCTCTTAACCACTATCTCTCCATCTCCATCATATGATAGTTCTTCCTGTCAAAGAAGGGCATCTATACAGAAGACTGAGATGTCTGACTTCCTTATGAATCTACTGAATAGCCTTAATCATCTCAAAATAGACTTATGATTCTCCCTCCATAGGAACCAGAAGATAGAAGACAGGATTAAGTAAATTACCAGATCTACTCACAGGCCTTTGAAGCTGTCAACCAAACTGTCTAGCTTTCATTCAGCCAACCTTGCACTGAGAAAGGACATGCTAGGATAATTCTAGATTTTTCTGTAACTTTCTCCTCCCCATCCTGACTGTTAAGCCTCTCCCTTCATGATGCCATAAGCTTTAATCCAAGTTCCAAAAGAAATGATTCTTGGCTCAGGATGCTCTGATTCTGGAGAAGCTTCTGTAGATGCTCACAACTTCCTGTATCAATGATCTAGCCTTATAGGATGTCTAATAAAATGTTTGACATCTACTGGCAGAGGTCCAAGAAAACAAATTCATTTCCTTTTAGCTTCACATTTATATACTTTATCAAAATATTATATAAAAACATAAAAGGTACACAATTATAGTCTCCTAAGAAAGCCACTAAAGTTTTCCAACATCCACTGCTAACCTACAACCAAATATGAACACACTTAATATGATTGTAATAATAATCTATTTCATGCCTTCTTTTGCAATCATCTAAGTATTTTTAGTATGGTAACAAAACCTTTGGATTTTTCTTCAAAGGAACTGAACTCTGAACAAATTAGTGTCCTAAATGATAACAATGAAGGCAGGTGATAAATGAAATACAATTCAATATTTTATTGTCAACAACTAAAGCAATGGATTCTATTTCTTAGAAGCAGTCCTTTCCATCATTGACAGGTCTTTAGTCTTAAGAGGGACAACTTCATTACAATCACAAGCAACTCCTACATCCAGTTTCTTCCCAGTCTTAAGTGTTCTGGCAGCACCATAAAACAGAAGTGCACTCAAACAGCAAACTCAACTAAATCCTGTGGTTGTTGAGGGGCATTGTGTGAGACCTATTACGGCTATGCCTTTGGTGATACAGGAAACACAGTAAAAACTCCTGATAAAAGCTTCTCTTCCTAATTACACTTCTTGTAAGCTTTGAGTTTAATAAGCCATTTGCTTATATGCAACAAGGTGATAATCACTATTATAGATGCCTCCTACCAATTACCTACTGAATGCATTCACAGGTTCTTCCCAATTTAAGAATCCTTATGTAAAGGTAGATGGTTATCTTTAGAGAAATATCATCCTCACTTGCAGGTGCTTTATTTCAGTGTATGCACTACATGTTTGGTATAGGCTGAATCATCCCTGAAGCCTTCTCTACACTGATTACCATCCAATCCTCTCTTCAGGAGTGCCCTATTAACAGAATTAATAGGATTATAGAATAGCTCATATTCAGATTTTTTTTTTTCTGTTAACATAGGAAATCACACCCGAAGACATATCTCCTTTATTCACTCAAGGAGAGTATGGCCCACGTTCATTATGCTTCCACAGGCTGCTCTTCAAGGTGTGTTCTCTGATGTCGGACTAGACACCAGCTCCTTCTAAATATTTTTCCACACTGAGGACACTGGCTGGGACCCTCCCTGTTATGAAGTCGCTGGTGTACTACCAGGTGAGTGTTCTGTCTGAAGGACTTTCCACATTTCAGACACTGGTATGGAGTCTCCTTAGTGTGGATCCTCTGGTGCTTGGTCAGACAGGAACTATCCCTAAAAGCTTTACCACACTGATTACACTCATAAGGTCTTTCACCAGTATGAATCCTTTGATGCCGGATAAGTCCAGCGATGTTCCTGAAGAGTTTACGACACTGGTTACAACCGTAGGGCTTCTCACCAGTGTGAATTCTCTGATGCCTGATGAGGTATGCACTCTCAATGAAAGTTTTCCCACACTCTTTACATTCATAGGGTTTCTCACCAGAATGAATTTTTTGATGCACAATGAGATGAGAGTTGCGATTGAAGGATTTCCCACACTCTACACATTCAAAAGGCTTTTCTCCAGTGTGTGTCCTCTCATGCTGAGTGAGGTAGGAACCATCTCGGAAAGCCTTTCCACATCTGCTACACTCATAAGGCTTCTCACCAGTGTGGATTCTGAGATGTACGGTAAGGTGAGAGATGTCAGTGAAGGGTTTCCCACATTCATTACATCTATATGGTTTTTCCCCTGTATGAGTTCTTTGATGCAAAATCAGGGATGAATTTCTGTTGAAAGTTTTTCCACATTCTAGACACGCATAAGGCTTCTCACCTGTGTGAATCCTCTGGTGTTGTGTCAGAGCTGATCCATCACTAAAAGCTTTCCCACATTTATTGCATTTATAAGGTTTCTCTCCTGTATGAATCCTTCTATGTACAATCAAGTTGTAGTTCTTGGAGAATGATTTTCCACAATCATTACAGGTATAAGGTTTCTCACCAGTATGAGTTCGATGGTGTAAAACAAGAGAAGAATTCCGTTTGAAGCATTTGCCACATTCAGTACATTTATAGGGTTTCTCAATGGAATGACTTCTTTTTTCATGAAGAGATGAGCTCAGGGACAAGACATCCCCAAAGTCCTTACCTTTATAAAATTTCTTGCTTCTTTTCTTAATTTTTTTGTCACAAAGGGGAGTGGTCAAGTGGTTTAAAGATGTAATACTTTCTGTATGTTTATAGGGTTTGTCTCTCATTTTGTTTCTTACAAGGTGAGTGACTTCCATGGCAGGACGGACAGCTTTTCCACAAGCATCACCATCACTAGTTCCCTTAGATGTATAACTCTGGGAACAACTATGTAAGGTTTGATCACAATCAAAAGTTTCAATATCTGAGTTATGAACATGAAAGCCATTTGTTGTAGGAACTCTCTGGGATGCAAGGAGGGCTGGGTTTGTACTCAAATGCTCCCCCAAACCAACATGGTCACAATTTGCTTCCTGAGCCCCTGTTTTCTCATCAATTAAGGGAGACTGCCTCAAATTTCTTTCCTTGTTCTCACAGTCCCAAGCGTCACCTGAAATGGGGAAGCAGGGTCCTTCTATTTTAAATCCTTCCATTTCTACCTCAAAGGAAACTTTTTTTTCAGAAACATTCTGAGCTATTATTCTCAGCCTCATGTTCCATACTGAAAAGAAAGGAAAAGACATATTAGGTAAGTACAGATATATTTGGGAGAAAAATGAAAAATGACAATGCTTTCTTTTTCAAATTCATATCTGTAAAATAGGGATTTCAAATGAACACCAAAGGCTGAAGCCAAGAGCAAGTGCAAAAGAAATGGCATTACATTGCAATACTCTCACAGAACACGTCAAAGGAATACTGTGTAAGGATAAATAAAACAAAAATAAGTAACTTGGTGGTACATAGGAGATGGTAAACCAGACATCTCTGCTCATTCTCAAATACCATCTTGCCCACTGCCTCCTTGGCCCCATCACCAATGTCCCTCATCAGAAGTCAACACATATCAGATGGGGAAAAAGAAAAAGAAAACCTAGAACTGTAAAGCAGAGCTATAAATGCAGCACTTGGGAGGTAAAACCAGAAGGACCACCACAAGAATGAGGCTAGTCTACTCTAGATAGCAAGTCCCACATCAGCCAGGGTCACACAGTAAAGCCCTATAGAACTATAATAACATAAAGCTAAGAATTACACACAACATGTTCATTAAACATTGTAAATTATTCAATCAGCATGGCTGAATAGTTTGGTATCTGCTATTAAAACATAAAAAACTGTTTATTTCCCCTTCCATCATGCAAATATAATCATAGTTACCTCAGAAAATATGAACAAATGAATATCAATACACACTTATGAAATGATCTTTTTTCCTAATTTTATTTTATTTAACATGCATGGGTGTTTTCTGTGCCAGTATATCTATGTACCACATATATGTCTAGTGCCTACACAGGCCAAAAGAAGATATGGGATATCCCAGAACTGGAGTTTAGATGGTTGTGAGCCACCATATAAAGACTGGGAATTATACCTAGGTCCTCTGGAAAAGCAGTTAATGTTCTTAACCACTGAGCTATCTATCCAGCCCTCCACAGAATGATCTTAAAAGAAAAGAAGGAAAAACGACAGACTAGTAATGAAGATGGAACTTAATATGATTGGTCACAATTACTTAATAGCAATGTAGAAAACCAAGAGTGATGGAAAGTTTCTTTCAAAGTACTGCAGGGAAAAGCTACCAGTTTCACCAAGATTCGGGAATGAGAGTAAAATAAAAAAAATTCAGAAAAGCAAAGACAATTCTTCAACAGGGGAGACTGAAGAAAGGGGGGAACAGAAAGAAAAGGAAATGATATATGGATAAATCCAATCCAAAGCTAAAGAGGAAAAAAATCAGTATTGGCCAGATTAAGAATCAATGTAATACAACAGTAGGAATATGCAACAAAACACAGATAAGGAATCCTCAAATGGAAGAAGAAATCAACATATCCAAACATGGCAAAAGACTTATTTTCTTTCAGAATTGTAAATTCAGAAAAACTGCTGGACAAAGACAAGCAGCAAAAAAATTTAGTAGCTAGCCTAAAGCTAGATGAAAAGCCATGTACACTGAAAGCCAAATGTTTTCTAAGCACATCTGAAATAGTTGTTTAACATAACCATAAACCAGACCAAAGAACATACCGAGCAAAAACCAGGCAACAGCATAAAAAAGACTAGTCTATTGGATACAATGCAGTCAAGCTAACAACCAATCAACACAAGAAAATACAACAAAACAATAAAATACCAAATACAATAAAGCAATTCATAAAACAAACCTGTATTTTTTTGGTAAAATGTTAATGTGATAACCTATTTTTCAGTGATGGATAGAACTAAAACCTTGATAGAAAAAGAAGAAGGAAGAGGAGGAGGAGAAGAAACATGTAAGTAAGAATAAATTAGGCAACTGTGGCGCAAACCTTTAATCCTAGCACTTTCGAGGCAGAGACAGATGGATCTCTATGAGTTACAGGCCTGCCTGATCTACTGAGTGAGTTACAAAACAGCCTCCAACGCGAAAGAGAAACCTTGTCTTGAAAAATGAAAAATAAATAAAGTAAACAATGCTAGTATTACAAAATGCGTGACAAATGAAGCTGTAGTGAACTTAGTCCTTGGACTAAGTATTATTCTTTAACACTTATAGTGAAAAAAGAAGACCACAGAGCTAGGCGTGTATCTTGGAAGAGTGCTGACCTAGCCTGTGTAATACCCTGTATTCCAGTCCCAGCATCAAAAACAGTAACAGTGATGAATTCCTGGGTATCCTAAAATATACATTGTAGCAGGTTAATAGTCACGAGGACTTCCATGGCTAGTTATAGATTTTCTCCAAGCTGTCATGATTGATGAATTGTATATACTACTAATGTAAATAACAAAACCACATCTGCAGCTTTCTGTTGGCTAAAACACAATTATCTACTGCTCCCAAATTCATTTGCATGAATCATGAATTCCCACCGAGTGGTGGCACATAGAGATAGGGAAGGAAGCTGCTTGCTGCTCACAGGACTGACATGATAGACAGTGAATCTGGCTGCTCCTTGAATCAAGAACAGTGCAGGGAGCTGGTTAACTGACTAGGCTGCTCTTTGTTCTGCTTTACCTCTGGTCTGTATATAAGCAGGGCCTAAATTAAACTTGGGGCTGTAGGTGTGCTGTAAGGCATTGACCAGGCAGTCCTCCCTAACCTATCCGGTGTTTCTGTCTGTTTCTTTATCTGCCATTTTTCAGTCCTCACACCCCTACCCAGGTAACCTGACAAGTTGGAGCAGGCTCCGACAAGAATTAAATACCTTCTTCTGGTCTCAGTACTGCATGCATGTGGTGCACATGTATACACATAGATAAAACACCCATACACATAAAACTAAAAGGAAAAAAATTTAAGGTCTAACTAATTCTATCTAAGCTCAGATTGTGACTGTCTTGTGAATAGAGTGGGTAACTTACCTTGAGAATTTTTTTAAGCAAATAAATAAAAATAAATTTTATTTCAACTATAAATAATACATATTTTATCAAAGCCTAAGACTTAACACAACCAACAAAGTCAAAAGACACCCTCCAGAGGGGAGGTAATGTATCTAAAATATATAAAACTCAGAAGTCAATAAAAGAATGACACAGGCACGTAATATAACGCCTGCATTTGAAAGAAGACCCTACCCCTGCCCCTCAATAAATAAATAAATATGACCACCCACATTTCTTAAATGAACAAAGAAAAGATCTTGTCTTACTTTAGATTGCTTTCTGAACTCAAGTATACAATAGCATCATGGCATAAATGATAGAAATTTATATGTCACAGTCCTGGAATCTACAATGGCAGTGGTGGTATACACCTTTAATCCCAGCACTCAGGAGGCAGTCATGGATAGATCTCTGTGAGTTCGAGGCCAAGACAGTCTCCAAAGCTACAGAGAAACCCTGTCTTGAAAAAAATAAAAACAAAAGAAACTCCTGGAGTCTGGGAAATCCAAAACCGTGGTGAAGTTTGGATAAGGGGTCACTTCCAACTTGCAAATGAACAATAAGCAAAAGAACAGATGCTCAATATCACTAGACATGAGAAAAATTCAAATCAAAGCAACAATGAGATATCACTTCGTAGTCACTAGGATGCTATAATCATTTCCATGTCTATGTAGTTATTCCACAAGGCAGAAAAACATACATCTCTTTTCTAAAGGTTCATAGCATTATTTGTGACATTCAAAACAAAATTCACTGAATAAATACAAATCCATAAATAGAATATAACTGCAAAACTGAACAAAGTACATATATATTCTATAACATGGATGAATTTTTTTTATTTTTTTTAACATGGATGAATTTTGAAGACATTTTCTAAATCAAAGAAGCCAGACACAAAGGACCATAGATTCTATGACTAGTTATATGGAATCTCCAAAACAGATGAAAAAAAAAAGCTACAGCAAGGAGAGATAAAGGAGATAAAAGTGATATTAAGTATGAGTTTTCTTGGGGGGAGGGGGACTGATAAAAAGGTTCTAAAACTGTCTGGCAAGGTGGCACTAGCCTTTAATCCCATCACATAGGAGGCAAAGGTTGTTTAAGACCAGCCTGGTATATATAGCAAATTCCAGGCCAGCTAAGACTACATAGAGAGACCCTGTATCAAGCAAAAACAGCAACTGTGCAGCTTAAGATAAACTATGTGGTATGCCCATATAGCCCATTTGCTGTTATTGGTTTTAAATGTGTTGAGCCCACCAGGATCAGACCTATTGGCCAACTCACCAGCTGGCACATTAATGGTACATTAAAAACTCAGGAGAGAATTAACAGAGGCTGCGCTAGCTTGTGCAGAACTACTGCTGTCAAGTGCTGGGACTGCAGGCCTGTGTCGCCATGCCTGACAAGAGTGCAAATTTCTCTTACTGCTTTTTCAGATGGGAAAATATTCTAAGTCCCAATTCATACAAGTGCTCACTCACGTTTGTAAGATGATGGAGAGCGGAAGAGGGATCTCCATAAACCTCCGAATGGCTCAAACAAGCATCAAAGGTATAGCTCAATGACAGTGATTGCCTAGCACATACCAAGTGCTTGGTTCAAAGCCAAACACACACACTTACGGTAAAACACAGAGCTAAGCAAAATACAAGCTGTAGATTCAGGCATTGTGCTGCCCTGCCCCTGTCACCTGGCAGAATGCACTCAGGCAGCATTCTGGTCAGCCCAGGGGTCCATGAGTACTAGTCTTGATGCAGGTGCAAAGGACCCCTTTAAAAGAAAGACCTCCGCCCACTTATGCTCTTTTGCTCTCTTTCCGGCCCCTCCCTCCCTCCCTCCCTCCCTCCCCCTCTCTCTCTCTCTCTCTCTCTCTCTCTTTACCTCTTTTCTCTCTCCTTCCCTCCCCCTCCCCTTTCTAATAGAACTTCTCACTTAAGCTCTGTCTGCCTGGTATGTTTGTCCCTCTGCATCGGTCACCCTCGCCCACCATGGTCCCCCACCCAAGGGTCCCCCTTCGAGCTTTAACCTAACACAAACTAAATAAACAGGTATCCAAGTTAATACAATAAAGAAGAGTTTCTCTAAATAACAAAGGGCACAACACATACCC